GAGGAAGGTAAAGGAAGTGATAGTATACTGTATCTTAGATAGGTAGGATAACAACTCTTAGCCTGTAAATGAACTGAGGTAGAATAACAGCTCTGAACCTGTAAATGAATCGAGGTAGAATAACAGCTCTCAACCTATGAATGAATCGAAGTAGGATGACAGTTCTCAACTGCCAATTGAACTGTTAAAAATCCACTGGCTGTAGGGTTCGTATGGCTTCAGAGCTGACATGACCCTTAAACACAATAACGACAATATACATATTTGGTAGTAAACTGCCTAATTTCTGGCAGCCGGGAGGTAAGGTTAAATACGGCTCGCCCCTTGAGTGACCCTTAACAACCCTCACAACAACAATAACAACATAATTGCTACCAGCTGGATGTAAGACATTGACTGACTCATCAACAGATCTCCAGGTATGATAAATGATCAGGCATTTATGCATTCACTATCAGCTCACGAAACATAGGGAAAAGTGTCGAATTTACGCCAACAAGGGGGTACTAAGATTACTTTCTCAGTCTTCAAGGGGGAGCAGCTAAGGCTTCAGTAATCTCTCTATGTACAGGAAGCAGCTGCTGAAACTTCAGTCATCCTGTTTGCAGGAGGGACCTGCTGCAGGTCAGCTGCTTAAACTACATTAACATAAATACAGTAACGTCTACACCACGAATCTATGAAGGATACACAACAGAGATTGCAAACTCGCAACATTTCCTTTACGTTGTAATAACGCACTTTGTCTCAAGTTTGCATGCAGGATAAAACAGGCTGAAGCGGCAGTAGGTAGCTCATGTTTCCCTCCACCTCCTCATAAATTATATAATTTGGGTGAAAGGAGGTCATCATGGGGAGGAAATTCTTGAATCATGTTCACACGGATATTCACGTCACCCACAGTGTGAGTAACTGTGTCCCCTCATGTGGATCCCTGTCCCTTGTATCCAGGTTTTCCTACTCCAACATATATAATAATAATAATAATAATAATAATAATAATAATAATAATAATAATAATAATAATAATAATAATAATAATTTGTTATTATTATTATTATTGTTATTATTATTATTATAACAATCTTTCTTGTGGTTTCGTTTCTTTTTATAATAATAATAAAATAATAATAATAATAATAATAATAATAATAATAATAATAATAATAATAATAATAATAATAATAATGTACTGTTTCTGGCGTGGCCTGAAAGAGGACATCTTTACCAGGTCCGATACTCAGGCCATGCTGGTTTCTCGATGCTGTTGAGGGGCTCTTGATCCTGGAAATTGTAGCTACTCTCCCTTTCCTCGTATCAAACGGGGTTTTGCGCCTCCCCATGCATAATAGTTCTCGGTATCAATCCAAGATAAAGACACGACAGACCAGATACAAACCAGATATAAACAAGATATATACCAGATACAAACAAGATATAGGCAAGATATACCAGATGTTGACAAGATATAGACAATATATCCATCAAATATAGATCAAACATGGAACAAATATAGACAAATTTAGACCAGATATAGACAGGATATAGAAAAGGTTAATATATAACTCGCTATTATGTGTGAGGGAGGTTATCAGAATGAGGGAGTATGATGGGGCGTGGAAGTGAGAAGGGAAGAGGTCTCATGGGAAGTGTCTGGAGGAAAGAGATGGGAGTGGAGTCAGGAAAAGATGTGGGTGGGATGGATTAATTGGAGTGGGAGGGAGGAGGTGTTGGAGGATAGGAATATGGAAGGGGGGGGTTTGGGTGTAATGAACGGTGGACGGGGTGGGGGGAAGAAGAGGAGTTCTTCGCCCACGTTAGGTGCCGGTCCCACGGTGGCGGTGGAGGGGAGGTGCCCATCCCTCGGAGAAGGAGGAGGGGGGAAAAGGTGGTTCGCCCACGGGGGAATTCCGAGTAGAAGAGAAAGTAAAAGTGACGGGTGAGACACCGAACATTACCCTGTGTGGGCACTGTGTGTGTGTGTGTGTGTGTGTGTGTGTGTGTGTGTGGTGTGTGTGTGTGTGTGTGTGTGTGTGTTGTGTGTGTGTGTGTGGGCACTGTGTGTGTGTGTGTACTCACATAGTTGTACTCAACTAGTTGAGGTTGCGGGGGTCGAGTCCGAGCTCCTGGCCCCGCCTCTTCACTGGTCGCTACTAGGTCACTCTCCCTGAGCCGTGAGCTTTATCATACCTCTGCTTAAAGCTATGTATGGATCCTGCCTCCACTACATTGCTTCCCAAACTATTCCACTTACTGACTACTCTGTGGCTAAAGAAATACTTCCTAACATCCCTGTGATTCATCTGTGTCTTCAACTTCCAACTGTGTCCCTTGTTACTGTGTCCAATCTCTGGAACATCTGTCTTTGTCCACCTTGTCAATTCCTCTCAGTATTTTGTATGTCGTTATCATGTCCCCCCTATCTCTCCTGTCCTCCAGTATCGTCAGGTTGATTTCCCTTAACCTCTCCTCGTAGGACATACCTCTTAGCTCTGGGAAT